CAAGAACACTGGCAGCAAGTTCTTACCCCATACATAGGCAGAGGATTCTTAAGAGTCTTCTCTAGAAAAGATATAAAGTTCCAGAAGAAAGTCCTATAGAAACTGACATTTGGACATTCCCCAACAAAAGCACCAACTCTCTTGATTCTTCTATAGCTGAGCTCACCAACCAGTAAAGCCTGGGCTCATGCTGGGATGCTCAATCCATTCTCTAGTACTTTACTCGTAAATATGAGTAGACACTGAGGATCGCCATGTACTAAGGAAGGCCTCCAACTGGAAAGACTGAGGCCAAAGCAAACAGCAAAAATGAGCTCAGAAGAGACTAAAACAACGCAGAGTAGAAGACAAATTTAAGATGCCTATAATTAATTCCCCAAGGAGAACAGATAGTGCATTCGTGAAACAATAATAGGATCCCAAGAATAAAACAAAAGAACAAAAAGTGTTCTTCAAAATTAAAAAATATGAAGTCATATATTTTTAAAACTCAATTTAAGGGCTAGAAATCAAAGAACTTCCCCGAGAAAGGTGCCAGAGAGAGAGAAAATTAGAGGGGAAAAAAGTTATGAAAATAAAGAGGATCAATCCAGAAGATCTAACAACCAGTTAGCAGCAATTCCAGAAAGAGAACATAGAAAAAAAAAGGGGCACAAAAATCATCAAAGATATTAAATCCAAGAAACCAAACAACGTGTCTAGAAGGGAGGAATGTGAACTTCTCACTGGGTTGAGAGAGCTGCCACGGGCTCAGCACAGGGAGAGCAAGCCGCCCAGCGCATTTCACTGCAGAGTTTCAGAACAGCAGAGATAGAGAGATGAGCCCAAAGGTTCCAAGGGGTAAAGAACCAGAAATCAAAACAGCACAGGGCCTCTCACTGGCAAAAAAAAAAAAGAAAGAAAGAAAAAGAAAATGAAACAATAACTTCAAATTTCTGAGGGAAGATTATTTCTAACACACACATCTATACTACATTAGTTTCCCATGTCTGCCATAATATCACTACCACCAAGTGGGTGGCTTAAAACAACAGCCATTTAGCGTGCCACAGTTGAGAGTGTGGCCAGGCCCCCCTTCCTGAGGGCTGTGGGAGAGAAGCGCTTCTGTGCTTCCTCCAGCTCCTGGGGGCTGTCGGCACTCTGACTCGTGGCTATCACTCCAGCCTCTGCCTCCGCTGTGACACTGCCCCTTCTGCTTCTGCCTGTCAGATCTCCCATGTATCTCTTACAAGGACACTTGTCACTGGACTTAGGGCCCATGAAGATAATTCAGTATGATCTTTTCATCTCAACATCCTTAACTTAATTACACCTGCAAAGACCCTTTTCCCAAATAAGGTACATCACAGCTTCCAGGTATCAGGACGTGGACTTATTTCGGGGGCCACCATTCAACCCACTACATATATCTAGCCAATGCATCAATTAAAAATGAGGATACCCAAATACGTTCCCAGAAAGCTACTAGTAAATGTAACCTCATCAAAATGAGGGAGAAAGCCAAGAGAAAATAAGACATTTAGTCCAAGAAACAGAGACTACTGCACAGGGAAGAGGCAAAAGGAATTCCCAGGACAGTGATAAAGCAAAGTTGAAAATAGACAGTGCCTAGCAGGTAAAAAACAATCAGTCTGGATTGTAGCAGGGTGACCATGAAGAAAACAGTACTGAGAAGGGTTTAAGAGTTCATTTGAAGAGTGTAGCAAGCCTTTGGTGCATAAAATGAAGCAAATGTTAATTCCAAGAAAACAAAAACTGTAAGGAAATAAAGAAAATAATATTATCATATATTACTTGGCTTAGCAGTGAACAATGTTTACATTGAATACTGATTTAGCCAAAAACATAAATATACTATATTGGAAGGACCGAGTATGAGATGTATGGGGTCGAAGGAATGTTAAGAATGCCAATTCTTTACCTTCCATAAAAGATAATATCTAATACTGATAACAAAACAGTATGAATATTATTTAATATATGGAGGTAAACACTAGAAGAAAGATCTATTACCTTGGGGTGAACAGACAAGACAAGGGGTAGAGGGGGATGGGGAAGGGTATTTTATTTAGTCATAGTTCCCCTTTGGAGCAGTGTTCCTATTGCGTTGAAAACAAAATTAAAAAAAAAAAAATTAATGCAGCAAAAAAGAAAAGGTTCTGAGAAAAGTAACTTGTTCAGGGCCATAACATAGCTAAGAAACGTTTGTCACAATGTCTCAAAGTTTCTAATATCTTGCAGGAGTATGGAAATTCTTGAAACAGGGTTCTTAAATTCCCAAGTCACATGTCTTCCTAAGGATTCAAAAACAGACAAACAAATAAACCAACCAACCACACACAACACCAAGAGCACTCCTGAGGTATACTGACAGTAATGGACCCGACCTCTATGTTAGATTATTACCACTCTACCCAGCTTTGCTTAATATAACACGACTGGCTCTTGTTTGTTTTGAACTTTAATGTCATAGCCACCGGGTAAAGGGGCTGAAGATATGAAGGTCTTTCTAGATTGGTATCTTGACAGATAGCTGCCAGTAAATCCAGTTTATATGTGGATGGACGCTAAAGATTTCACAATATTAGAAATAAGAGATTAAAAGCCTGTGTTCTGAATACCATTATGCTCAGAAAAGAGACACCAATGAGCAACTTCCATAAAATCTCTTCTGTCAGACTGTATGAGGAGAGAAGGAGCATTTATTAGGCAAATGTGTAGCAGCAGTGGTGCTAGGATAAGGTGAAATAAGAGAAAAAGAGAAAAAAATCTTATTCTCTACTTAATTAACGTCCTCCTTTATCCAGTCCATTAATACATGACTCATTTCCGATAGTGTTTTGGCACACCAAACCTATTCCCACCTTGGCCTTCCCTCCTTCTCTTCAATTGCCTTAAAAGTCCACCTATTTCAAGTAACCTACATAGACTTAACTGATCTATGTCCTAAATGAATAATATAGGTTACTTTGAAATTCTCCCCACAGATGGAAATAGCCACTTAATTTATAGTCTATTGTACCTAGTGTAATTGATGATAATAGTCTAGACATACTAATTGAGAATTTGTATGTTGTCATGTTAATCTCGTTTACTTATTTACTTGAGATCATGTGTCTGTCTGAATTGTAAGCCTTTAAAAGATACAAGGATAGCACCTGGTACAAATAGGTACTTTACGTTTTTCCATAAGTATAAAATCAAAATGAAAAACATTTTTAAAAGAAAAAAATGTTGGGCTTCCATGGTGGCGCAGTGGTTGAGAGTCCGCCTGCCAATGCAGGGGACGCGTGCCCCGTTCTGGGGGGATCCCACATGCCGCGGAGCGGCTGGGCCCGTGAGCCATGGCCGCGGGGCCTGCGCGTCCGGAGCCTGTGCTCCGCAATGGGAGAGGCCACAGCGGTGAGAGGCCCGGGTACCGAAAAAAGAAAAAAAAAAAAAAAGAAAAAAAAAAAAAAAGAAAAAAAAAAAAAAAGAAAAAAAAAAAAAAAGAAAAAAAAAAAAAAAGAAAAAAAAAAAAAAAGAAAAAAAAAAAAAAAAAGAAAGAAAGAAAAAAATGTGCCAGGGTAGCACTGGTGTGGGATAGGTAGTTCTAGAAACAAATTACTTTTAAAGTAAAGCCACTTTGGTTTAAATCTCAAGGAATTTTTGACCTTGTCTCAGATTAATACCATGCCTGTGATCACTGAAGTAGAAAAAAAGAAGGTCAAGGGCAAAAGAGCAAATGGTAACAAAGAAAATGCAATAATTCCACTGAAAAGAACCCTTCATGTATTTTCATAACTCATGAAAAAACTAATCCCAAAGCAAAAACAAATGCTTCTATTAAAACTTACTTTGAAACCAACGAGGAAAAGGGGAAAAAAAGTCTTTCCTTTTCCATTGCCCCATTAGCTCTTTCTCATCCAATGCTGCTGGATCTTTCTCCAGTTCTTACAGTAAAATATCATTACATCACAAGTGAGAACAGAACACAGTCTGTTAGACTTTTTAACTAAAAAGTACAAATCCCCATACACAGTATTCATGTGTTCATAATTACTTCTGACAAACACTTTAAAAAGGCAGCACCAGTGAGCACCACATTTACATAAATATACAAAATTTGAGTCCTTTGGTATTCAAGAGATCAGCAAAGTATAAACAGCTTAGAAAATTTCTGTCAAAATTAGGTAAAATGGCCACTTCATCAAGAAACTTGAAAAATACTTCAACACTAGGCTAGCATGAAATTTCTAAATGCTCTTCTTGCCAGAGTTCCTATTGTCTTCCCAAAATACAAACAAAAAACTTACGAAAGCAACTCTAGTTTCCTGATTGAAGTACTCTTTGTTGGCCATAGAAACCAAGCCATCAAATGCAACTATGTACTTTGCTTTAATTAAAAAAAAAAACACACAGCCCTTCTGAGAGTAAAGCACATTTCAGAACCTTTCACCTGGTACAGTAAAAAGAAAGCTAGTGGGGTTCATAGGTCAAAAGGCTGGAGAAGCAGAGATTCATGCCAAAGATCATGAAAAGTATTTATGTTCTTCATCTCCCAAACAGCCAAGTATCATCAAAGCTGCCTCAGCACAAGGATGAATTCTCACCATATTTCCCAAAGCTCCAATTCTTCATTTTAGAAGTTACACACCATCACAATTACCGCTGTGGGTAACAGTCTCAATTGAAGCTGTATCCCTCACTTAGTCTTTTACAAAATGCACAAAACGCAGGATTTCAGATAGGAGAGAGAGACTGCTCTGTCTCTAAAAAATTTACCTGAATCTACTGGTTCCTGAGTTCTAACAACATCTATAACTGGCAACTTCCATACTGAATAAGTCATCATGAAATTTAAGAATACAAGCTTTTAAATTAGGCTGTGGGCATGTAGACATTTTAATAAAATATGAAAGAAAAAAAAAACCAACCCTATAATTTTATAGTATGCTTTTTCACCTCAAAACTCTTAAGAGCTGACATCTGATGCACTGAATCCTATCTAACGGTCTTACCTGTTTGGCTTTTGAGTTCTTCCCAGTCAAACTTTTCTCATTTGTGCTTCCATCCATCCCTCTGAGAACACTGATGAAATCTTTCTTGGAAACAGTTGATATCAGCTTAGCACGCTTTCTAATAGAGCCTCCAGCTTCTTTAACCTTTTCATCAACGTTCTTTTGATGCTTTTGAACAGCATTAAATAATTGCACCACACCCCTATAGAACATAAATGACCAGAGCAATGTAGTTAAGTAACAATTACACTAGAACACAAACTCTGAGGACAGAAACAATGTATTTTCACTGCTCAGAAAAGAGGCACTAATTTAATAGGCACTCAAGTGAAAAGCGTTGAATAAATCTGAAAAATGAACATACATTTCAATGAATGAATATAAATTTCTGAATAGAGAATAAATATATGTGGATTGATTTGTGATTTTTTTTCAGCTTTAGTCTTTCTAAATCAACTTTTGTACAAGTAGAACTAAGAATCAGAACTAAGATGTTTTAACACAAACATCTACTTCTCAAAATATAAAGGCTTTACAGTGTAAATGGAATGAGCACAGCCTTTATTTACAGTTAGCTGTCTAATCATCTGATGCTAGGAAAGATTTTCTGGATCTCAATTTCATCTGTAAATGGGAAAAACAATACTCAAGAAGCTTAAAAAGTATTCAGCTATGTTTCCTGCAACTTTTATAAGACTAATTAAAAAATATATTTTTTGAAGTACTTTGTGCTATAGTTAAACTCACCGAAAGATAAACTCTGAAGATTAAGAACTGTCATGTCCATTATAGTAGCCACGAGCCACACGTAGCTAGCGAACACACAAAATATGGCCAGTGTGAACTGCAATGTGCTCCAAGTTTAAAATACACACTGGATTTTGAAGACTCAGTATGAAAAAGAGAATTTTGAAATCTTTTTAATAATTGTTTTATATTGATTACATGCTGAAATAATAATTTGACTATATTGAGTTAAATGTATTATTTAAATTAATTTCACCTCTTTATACTTTTTTCAATGTGGCTATAAGAAAATTTTAAATTACACACGTGGATCACATTATATTTCTACTGGACAGCAATGATTTAGACCATTAACATCCCTTCCAGCTCTAAAATTCTATAACCTATTAATTTTCCTGCTCTAATCATCACTGGCAGAGGCAATCCGCCACAGGCCCTGAGCATCCCTGCACGTTCTTGCTGGGTTCTTCAAGAATGCAAGGCCCCGACTGCTCTTTACCCAGGCCATTTCTCAGGGTTGTGTTTGCAGTAAGCAACCTTGAAAGATGAGGTAATGTCTCCCCCCGGACAAAGAGTAGGCTTGTTACCATTCACCATAAAAGCAACAGACTCCCAGGTACAGAGTTCCTCTCCTGTAACACAACCCACCACAGGCACAGGCATCCATCTAGGGCACCTGCGCTGCCCCCGTGGGACACAGGGAACCAGTGGGAACGTGAAGCTCTGGCTACTGCTTTTGCCGTGAGTAACAAAGTCCTTTGTCTCTGGCCCACAAGCCTCTTGTCTCCTGCCAGCATCGAAGAAACTTTACCAAGCTGGCTTATTTGTTTATAAGGAGGGTAAAATTCCATACCCTTCACGGCAGGGCTGGGACCAAAGTGAGGAGAGTGAGATGCCCAGGGTACAAACTGTAAGGAGGCACTTATTCTCTGGCACTAATCCTGCACTCTTCTAAGCTCGGCATGGGTATTAATTATTCAATTCTCAGAGAAATCCTATAGGGTAGGTATAATATTCTCTCCTTTTTCTAAGGAAAAATAAACTGAGACAGAGAGAAAGTAAGTAAATGCCCAAGGACACCCAGCTAGTCAGCCAGTGTGCGGGGACAGGTCAGCAGTCTGGCTCTACTGCTCCCTCTTACCCATGCAGCCTCACTGTCTTACTGTACAACACCCAGATGGACTGTTGTAGGCAAACAGGACATTTAAGGGAATTCCACTAAATGTAATTGCTATATTCTTTAAGCAGCAACCCAACTCTTACCTCCACCGTGGAGCCTGCTGCAACTCCCCTACAGTCTCCCATCATATGTTCCTAACACATCAGACGTACCTTTATTTACAAAGAGACTAGAACTCCTATCCATAAGTGGGCAAAAACCATGCAGCAGCCACCAGATTCTATTTGTCTTTGAACACAGAGGGCAACAAATGAATGTTTGGTGTCAATGATAAAAAAAAATGCTGAGTGAAAGGACAGCACGAAGCTGCTATAATGTGTAATTTGTGACGTCATATAGTGCCAAATAACAAAAATAATCATCTAGCGCCAAAATTTAAGACAAACATCCTAAAAGAAATGCAGTAAGAGGTCTGATTATACTGTTCTTGTGACTATAAAATACAAGATGATATGAAATAGGTTCATACCAAATATCCACTTAACACGTTATATTCTTGCCTCATGAGACCTCCAAAATCTGTGGTTGAATCCAGTATTAAATAGGCAGAGGCTCAGATATAAATCACTTGGCTCTGAGAAGGCAGACCTTAAGAATCAAAGCTAGTCAGAAATGGATCACTCCACAGCTTTAGAGTACTTATTTTTTAAAGGGCAAGAACACTGTCTTACCTCGTTGCAATTCTCTGAAGATTTCTCTCTGTTTCTTTGTCTTTGACAACATCTGGCTTTACTCTGCACATCATTTCCCATTCCCGCTTCTTATCAAGCTGTGTTATAAATATTGTTATGTGAAAGAATATTAGGCATTTTTGAAAGTGCAGCATACTTTGATATGATACTCTGTGAAAGGACAAAGGTAATAAATCATTCTGGCTTAGTTTGTCATAGGGACTTTCAAAAACCCACACTTTCAGGGGTTCGGCTCAGGGAGCCTGTGGTTAGCACTCTGAGTGTCATGTGAGAGGCAGCAAGTGAGCTGACGGCAGGCTCTCTGACAGCAGGGGCCTGGAGAGCCGCCAGCGCAAAGAGCCCGGGCAGGACAAGGCAGGGTGTGCACAGCCCCGTTCCCGCCCTGCCTTCACCAGATCCTCGGAGGGGAGCATCAGCAAGGCTCCAAACTACCCTCTTCCATAACCACAAGTTTAAATACCGTTTCTCTTTATTTTTAGAAACTGACTTCCTCAGCAGTCAGAACTATTAAGAATTTGTATCAGCTCTGAAAAGAATAGCGTCATATCCAGATATACCCTGTTTATACAGTGACTATTTTTCTTTTCTCTTATGGCACATCTGACCAATATCCTTGCCAAATATGGCATATCAGTCACAAACTACAACAAATTGATTCTTTGCTATAATGCAGAAACAGAAAGGGATCAGGAGATAAGGAAATCTCAAAGACAACACAATCTAATTCAAAACTGTTTTCCGGGGGGTATCCTGGTCTCAGGTACCCGATTTGATACGTGGCTTCTCCAGGTCCCCTCCTCGGGCCAACCTAACACCAGTATCAAATATACTGAAATGATGAACTAATCACCAAGAAGCTGATGAACATCAAAACCAGTAAGAACCAGTGGAAACAAGTCTCCTTTTATCTTTTCCTTTTCTCCATTCATTTAATCTCTCATTTTGTATTAATAAAAACATCTGATCACGGTAAAACCAAATCTTTGCTCTTGGTATCAAGATTACTCTGATTCCTTTTTAAAGGAGTAGATTCTTCCCCAAATCATGTAATTTATTTTAACTATCATGAAATTCATTATCAGACTATGCCAGAAATAAAAAAATCTTACTTTTAAAGCTGTTGATTCTTAATTTTCTATTGTACCCAGGGGATAACAGGCATGCAGGATCCCAAAATATTTTTTAACTTTGAAACGTACTTTTATACTTATGATTAGAAATAATTAGCCAATATTCTGGAAACCAGTAATATTTAACATTAAAAAACGATGATAATTTACATACACTCTACCCAGAAATATACAGAGTGTTTGTGGCTGCTGTGTTGTGTTTCTGGTATCCACACGTGTGCTTTCATGCATTATGTGGACAGTATCATCTCTAGCACTCAAAGCTTTGGCCTAGAGCAGAGTTACAGACTCGTTTCTGTTGGCTTCAAAATGCTGTTCTCACTGGAACACGAGGACTACAGGTAACTAAGGATTAAAGCCTCTTCTAGATTTTGCCAGATAGAAAACAAAGATTCAAATTTTCAGTTGAAAAGCTATCAGTAAGATTTAGAAATAAAACTGATCTTAAATAAAGTACAATGAGAATATCGAATTAATAAAAGAGCACGTTGTTTCTAAGAGCAACACTTGAAAAGTTCCATCTTTATATAGCCTCTTACAGAGAGCCAACCAGTATTAGGAACAAAGTAAACATTCATCTTGAAACAAGATAAGGGGATGGTGAACTTAAAAGGAAATAAATGCCATTGAAATCTATTTTTCTTTCATTTTTACCCATAACATAACTCTTGGAAATGAGTACTTTTATATTGTCAGTACGACTGTAGAAAGTTATTTTTCTCTCATTAAAAAATAATACCTATTTCAGTAACCAAATATTTTTAGACATAGAAATACCTCATCAGGGGACATAAAACCTTATTACTGCTTCTCTATCTCCTCTGTAATACACAACAGCAAACTTAAGTCCAACTTTTGGCCTTTCCCTTTCATTAGTAGGTGGCACTAGTCTAACTTCTTCCCCCAGTGGTTTAACAAAAGGTACCAGGAACTCAAGTTTATCCAACAGTGAAAAAGTTTGTTTTCAGAACTGCAACCAACCCCTGACAATGACATCATCAAAGATTTATACCATAAAACAGATTTTGAGGAAAAAGTAACTAACATGATTCTATTAGTCCAGAATTAATAAAGTTAGTATCTGGACAGCTAAGTTGAATAAGATATTCAAACCCAGGAGTCACTGTCACATGTATAACTACTTGATTTTAAAAGGATAAATTTCCTTGGCGTTTACATTTCTATTGCTTTGCTTAGATGAACAAAAAGTGAACATGCTCAACAGAATGATTCAGACTAGATTTCTGAACACAACCTTGGTTATGCACCCTCACATAAAACGCAAGTTACAAACTGTAATGTTAATTGGACCAACACTGCAGGGAACAATCTGGTGCAGATAAGAACTAGACTAGACAACCTCATCTACAGAACAACTGGTAGGACACACCTGTTTTCTTTTCTCTAGTCTCTCTTGCTTTAACTTCTCTTTTTCCTTTTTCAGCTCCTTGTTTCTGACCAGAATGGTGGGTTTACTTTTAGGAGTCTTCTTGTTAAGGATTTTAGCCATGGCATCTGCCCAGCCCACGCTAGTTCCAACACTAGCTTCTACAGCACTTTCACTGCCATCGCCACAGGGCTCAGCTTCATCCTCATTGTCAGCTTCCACTGCTTCTTCACCAGAGGAAAAGGGATCCTTTTCCGATCCACAGCTTCCTACAGAACCTAAGAGGAGAAACAAATTAAACTTTAAAACCAGAGGCAGGCCTTGGCAAGGCCATGGCAAGACCCCGGGGGCCCTTCCTAAGGCTAACGGTTCTCCATCAGTCTCCATTCTTGCAAGAGGAGTCTTTTCCGAGTCCCACAGCTGCAGTGATGGCGGAGAATGGCAGGACCCTCCATCCTACTGCCATCCTCCCCCAAAGACCTGGCCCAGCCATGTGGACGGGGAGGCCGCAGGCTTCAGCACCCAGGACCCAGGGAGTAGAAAAAAATCCAACAGCCCCACCACGTCTTGTCATCAAGGTGGTGACAGACGCTGACATGGTGCCAGTGCAGAGTGTGTTCAAATCCCCAGGCTTTGTGTCATTAAACTACTTGAAGAGACTAATGAAGGTTACTTTAAAAACAAATAACAACAAAAACTTTAATCTGTCAAAATGGTATAGTGATCCCATGGCACAGAGAAGTCAGATTAAGTTCTCTGAGGGCTTTGGCCCAGATGTTTAAAATTCTGAATTTGTGTGCAGAAAAATCTAAAAACCAACTTCCTTTTATAGAATCTGCATATGACATTAATCAACTGGGGTGTTTCAACATTTCTGAAAAATAATCTAATGAAGTGATACGTGCCCAGGGTTTAACTGCACTGCTGGGTGACTGAGTGAAAATATCAAGTTCTGGGTTGAAGATACAAATTCATATACTGTTGAATTTTCTCATGCAGAACCACCAAAACAAGCATATACAGGTTACCAGCAAACTATGTCATCATGTAAGATTCAAATGGCTGGGATCAGAGGAGTGGCCTAAACAACAATCCAATTGGTGACCTTACTCAAAAATCAACTTGCCAAGAAGCTCTGGGTACTTTTAAGTTTTGCAGCCTATCTCAAATTCTGAAGCTCACTGTACTTTAACAACAAGAACACAAGCGCCAGCACAGTGTGTGGGTAACTATATGATCCAGAGCCTTCTGAAGAGCTTCTGCTTTGCTCTTCAGAAACCTATGGAACTATTAGGAAATACTTCAAAAGTAGTTTTATGTCAGCTTATGGCTACGATCAAAGTGAAAGGAACTGAATGTGTACTCAGCTCTTCAATTCTGAGTGATCATCCCTAAACTCTTGACTTTAAGCCATGAATTAAGAGAACTGCTGAAAAGACCTGACTTTTAGCTAGTCATCATTATATTTGCTTTTTGGTATTACTTTTGCATAAACCTTTTTTTTTTTTTTTTTCCATGGGCCTCTCACTGTCGTGGCCTCTCCCGTTGCGGAGCACAGGCTCCGGACGCGCAGGCTCAGCGGCCACGGCTCACAGGGCCCAGCCGCCCCGCGGCATGTGGGATCCTCCCGGACCGGGGCACGAACCCATGTCTCCTCCACCGGCAGGCGGACTCTCAACCACTGCGCCACCAGGGAAGCCCCAATACCTTTATTTTTTAATTGTTGAGAATTCATTAAATAAAAGGATGGAAAACTAAACATTTAACATATTGAAACTAAACTTGTAACATATTAGAAAAAAGCAAATAAAAATATATAAAACAAAACATTTTATACACATATAAAAATGAGCCTCAAGCATAGGAGTAAAAAATGAAGTATCTTTGGGCATCCCTGGTGGCGCAGTGGTTGAGAGTCCGCCTGCCGATGCAGGGGACACGGGTTCGTGCCCCGGTCCAGGAAGATCCCACATGCCGGGGAGCGGCTGGGCCCGTGAGCCATGGCCGCTGAGCCTGCGCGTCCGGAGCCTGTGCTCCGCAACGGGAGAGGCCACAGCAGTGAGAGGCCCGTGTACCGCAAAAAAAAAAAAAAAAAAAAATGAAGTATCTTCGAAAACTTAACAGAACAATACATAAACTAGAGTTGAACACAGAGAGCAAAATAATACTTTATATTTTGAAAAAGCATGATCTTAAAACATAAAGTATGTTAATGGTATCAAAAAATATTAAAGGAAATGATAAAGCAAGAATCACTAATAATTCTACTGCCCTAATGTGCTGCATATTTCTTAATAAAGAGAAAGAATTTTTTTAAGAGAAATTAATTTGCCACGTATTTAATTTGAAGCCTCCTCTGTATCCTGTACGCTGGGCAAATTTAAGAAATCTGAGAACAGGACTAGGATTTGATATGCAAATCTAAGGAGATGTAAGAAATCTTACTGCCTGCAATATAAGAAAAGGTATCTAAATTTTGCCAAACAAAAGCTGAAAGCACTATCATTCAATGAAAATCTGGGTTTCTGCTATATACCAGATTCCAGAGTCACATTATTTTTCCCCCAGAAGCATCTGCTAGGATCAGTGTTCCCTGGAAAGTAGGTTGAGAAACAAAGTTTGGAGAACGTAGGTAGCTGAAAAACATATATGTTAATATTGCAATATGTTTATTCCTCAGTCAGCAGCACTAGACAGGCACGAATAACAAAATAAACAATTCTTTGAAAAGTACTTCTTCTAAGGAAGCATTTATCCAAATGTAAAGAGGCACAACAGCTTACAAGCCTGCGTCAATGAAGAATCTCTGAGTGATTAAAAGCAGAAGTCTTTACTAGCTCCTGGTAAAATGTCAAAACTACAACACTGACATCTAGTGTTTTGTCCTGATGAATTCACACACAAATTGCAGCGAATTTCAGTTTCCCCTACACTGGAAAGGCAGCCAAAGGCTTTCTGGTTGTGTAAGCCACTCCAATTTCTCCATTTCTAAACGCTGGCTATTTTTCTTTGGTGTGTTTCTTATCCAGCCTGACTACCACAACATGCATGTGATGGACACAATAAATCCATGACGTTTTATAACACCATTTCATACAACCTGCACTTATCCCACCAATTAAAAAAAAAAAATCCCAGAATAACTTACTGAAGTCATAATTTTTATTTTATTATTTTTTAAGACGCTCTAGCTCAGAAGTTTTTAGTCACGCATTCACTGCCAATGGAAATGATATTTTATATAAATTTAAAATGCCACTGTAATGAGGTCTTCCAGCATACTAAAAAACAGGATTTACTTCTAGGATACCAAAGATAATCACTATGCAAATCAGAAAATAGAACTGGTCCTTAAAAATTTACTGTAGCCTATGAGGACGAGATTTTTTGAATTGACCATGAACTGATATTTAAAAGAAGTTAAGTGGATGTAGATAAGCAAAAAATTCCTTTGAAGTCGTGTGTGTTATTTTAAACATTAACTCTAATTCTGCATTCTATTTTAAAAATCTGGAAATTAAGGAAGGGCTACAAAGAATGCTTACTGGAAGTAATAACTCAAGGTTCCAACAGAACTTTCTGCATTCATGGAAATGTTCTATTATCAGAGCTGCCCACTAGCCACCAGCCATAAGAGCCTACTGAGTACTTCAAATGTGGCTAGGACAGCTGAGTCACTGAATTTTTAGCTTTATTTAATTTTAATTACTTTAAATTTAAAGTGACTAGTGGCTATCATATTGGACAGGGCAGGGTTAGATCTCTGAGATAATGAGGTAGACACAGGCATTTCTCCATCTCTTGCTGCCTTTTCCCCAAACTTCCACCAGCCTTTCAAACTTGCCATCTGTCCCTGATCCCAGATATATCGTTAGCTGTTGGCAGAAAAGTGAGCTATTTACCTTAGCCTTTGAGATAAAGTTTTTAAAGAAGACTCGCAGTCCTTCAATATTTACCAAGTAATCGTGAATGAAGACGAAGGAAGGCGAAAATGAAAAATCAAATTCTCCTTGAAGAAGCCAAATGCTTAGCAGGATATATAAATCAGTTAAAACCAATTGTAAAATTTGGTTTTACAATCTGTAAAATTTGTAAGTGTTCTTCTAAAAGAAAAACAACGAAGAAAAGGGTGATTGTTTAGGGGTATCTTTTACAAAGATGATTTCAAGTTGTTTCTTAAAAGTAAAGCAAGAGTTTGAATGACAAGAGAAGGGAAAAGGCCAAAGAAATAAGTTTCTACAATGAGGCCAACTGAAAGAGGCAGGGGGCAAGATCAATGAATCTAGAACCAAAAACATCCTAGATTTGAGTCAATGCTCTGTATTAAAATTAAAACTATTATTGTAATCATCATTAATACTGACATTCCAGGCAGAAGAAACCAGCATGTCCAAAAGCATGGGAATGTCGAAGAAGGTAAGATATTTATAATATAACAAGAAGTTCACACTGGCTGAAACTGGAGATTTGGTGATTGGACCATAAGAATTGGGTATGAAAAGCTGGTTGGTTTACATAAATAAGCTGGCCTGATTTATCATCCAAGAAATAAAATATACATCAAGCCCCAAGTTCTGCACTATAGGTGTGTACTTCCAGTAAGTGGCCAAACTGCTAGTGCTTTTTTCTCTTACCACCTACCTCAAGTCCTTACTTTTAAAAAAGTTTCTCTATTGGATTAAGAAGGTTGTTCTTTTAAAATACAAATATCATCTGGGAGCATTAAGGCTATTGGTTAACCTTGATATTACTTCACACCTTTAGAATTTACTCTAAATCAAATAGAACTCTCATAAAAATTTGACTGAGATCAGCTAGCAGTGGCTAAAAAGACACAGAACTCAGGCTGCCTGATTCAATCTTATCTCCAGACAGAAATCTATGTGACTTTTCTGAAGGTTTTTATGTTCTCAACCTTAATTTCCTTGTCTGTACAAATGGCAATAAAATAGTATCTACTTCATCGGGTTTTGTGATAATTAAATGAGTTAATATATACGAAGTTATTGAAGAATGACTAGCCCATAGTAAATGTTTACATGTCAATTACACACCACACACAGGACACAAACAACGTGGCTGTGGAGAAGAGAGGAACAAAGAAGAAAAAACTCTCGTGGCTGGAATCTACAGGACATGTGAGGTGCTGAATGGGAAGCTTTAGATGATCAGTTACAGCACAGGGGTTAAGAGCTCAGATTATAAAATTAGGCAGACTTGGAGCTATGTGCTGTTTCCATTACTTCCTACCAGTGTAATCTTGGGCAGGTTACCTAAT